CATTGAAGCTGATTTTACCTTCTAATTTCAAACATAAAATATGATATTATGGGAAGGTTGCTGTTGCTGTGATACAGTTATTTAAAACAAATAATAAAAACAACAAATTTTCATGAATCCATTTAACTTTGCTTTTAGGTTGAGCCAGATATTGAACACCTTGACATCGTCCATCATATGCTGCTGTACCACTGCCCCTCTTTTGTAAACGAACCATATGATAAACAATGCTACATGGGGGACGTAGGAGACGCCTGCTTTGGAGTGGTGGCTTCATGGGGAGTCGGAGGAGGAGTAAGTAGACAAAATAAATGGTATATCAGTTATTCAAAATCTGTTCAAATATCTCACTCTCCTAATTCTCAAATGACCTACTATCAATAAAAACTATAGGCATATGAGCTTCCTGAGAATACAGGTATTCCTATAGGAGGAGAAAGCAGTGACAGATTCTACAGGTTGGAAATCCATTACAATAACCCGCAAGAGAAGGAAGGTAACAAATACTGCAGTAGAAGCATTGTTTTATGATTTTAACTGCACTGTAATTACTTTTCTTTTGTTACATAGGTATTACAGACAGCTCAGGTCTGAGGCTTTATTATACAGACAAACTTCGGCAACACGATGTGGGAGTTCTAACCACAGGAGTGCTTCCAGTAGGCCAAATGCAGTACGGGATACCTCCGAGAGCCACCCAGTTCCACTCCTATGGCATCTGCAACACCTCTTTGTTTTCACAGGTAGAAAACACTTTATGCACAAACATGACAGAAATTACTTGAGCCTAGTTCTGCTGGAGGTTTCTTCCTGTGGATAGGGAGGTTTTCCTCTCCACTGTCACTGCATGCATGCTCGGTGTGAGGGGCTGCTCTAGAGGCCAGGTGGTTTTCCTTTGATAGAACATTTTTAACCAATCTGACTGTCTGATCTGATTGAATTATCTCTGTAAAGCCCCTTAAGATTACATAGCTATGAATTGACGTTATATAAAGAAACTGAATTGAACATAAGTACGCTTCACCTTCCACTGTTTTACTTTGACTTTTGGCACATAAAATACATATGTGACTACCTTTGCAAGGCACTTTTTATTCATGCAAACAATTTTCACCCACAGCTTGTGAATCCCATTCCTGACCTTCAAGTGTTTTCTGTGCTCTTGCACACTCACTTGGCTGGTAGGAAAGTCAGAGTGGGCCACTTCAGGTGAGAAATACATAATGAGCCACCCACTCCCTTAGCCTAGCATCATTCCAAAGAAAATCATTTTGACCTCTAAATCATAGTTGACATATTTTGAATGCATAACTTTATATATATATCTATGATTGATCTCTGTAGAAATGGAAAGCAAATAGATTTCTTGGGAGTGAATGAAAACTACGACTTTGACATGCAAGAAATTGTTAATTTAGGAAGCATCAAGACAGTCAAACCGGTAAGCTTTACACACTTCTTCTATCCGAGAACATTTTTAGTCTGAGATGAAAGCAGGGTTGACTCTCATGAAACTAAATGACCTGTTTTTTTTTATTTCAGGGGGATGAGATAATTGTGGAGTGCACCTACAATACAGAGGATCGCACTAAAGACACACTGGTGAGCAGAGGTGTCAAGTAACAAAGTACAAATACTTCGTCAACTTACCTAAGTAAAATTTTTGGCTTTCTATACTTTACAGGAGTAATTATTTTTTAGACAACTTTTTATTTCTACTCCTTACAATTTTTTTTTGCAGTTATCTCTAATTTCTACTCTTTACATTTAAAAATAAATGTCTTACTTTTGTTTTATTTAAGCTCATTTTTGTTATTGCCAGTTGGTATTAAAAAAAAAATAAAAACCATCAAAATAATTTGCTTCATCAAGAACATTTATTTCTCTGTGGTTGCACTCAATTCTGAACCAATGTGTTGTTTGCCACATTCCAAAATAACGTTTTCAGGATGATGCAAAGTTACATTTGACGCCATTACCAAAAGTTAAGAAACTTAAGAATTGTAGAAAAATGTTCCTTTAATAAGGTAGTGCACTAACCAATAGAAGGTTTAAAGCAGCTCTCCTTCACATTTTTACTTCAATACTTTTACTTTAAGTAGTTTTAAAAGTTGAACTTTTATACTTTAACTTGAGTAAAAAAGCTCAAGTTTATACTGTAACTTCTACGACAGTAGGATTTATACTTCCACCTGAGTAATAAACATTAATACTTTTGCCAACTCTGCTGGTGAGTCAGGTTTGTTGAAATAAGAGATTGTTGCAGAAAAAACTAATAGATAAAAATTTTAATTGGGAATTCTTGTTGGTTTTAAAGATAATCATGAATCAAAACCAACATCAACATGGCAGCATATATTTCATGTTCATTTACAGTTACTGTTAAAAAACATAATGCTTTATAAATTTTTTTGACATTCAGGCTCTAGATTATTAGAATATTGCATTAGCTGCACAACTTTATGTGTCTCAGATCCCAGCTGGTTGTATCACAGAAACCTTACAAATAAACCAGTTCTAATTCTATTTTTTTTTTTACATGAAGCATTCAGTCAAAGTAGATTTAAAGAAAAGTATTTTTCTACACCTTCAAGCTTTTTTTCCCCAGTTCTTTCTTGAGAAGTGATCATTTGGCATACCGGTAGTCATATATTTAATAACACTTTGCAACATACATATTAAAGGACAATAAATGATGATGGCAGGTTTAACAGAATTTAACTTTACTTAGACCAGAAAATTATTCAGGTTATGTACAATAGGCCTATCAGGCTCTAATCATCAAGAAGGAAGAGTGGAGGACTTTCGAGAATTTTAGAAAAGATCCTTCCTCTCCCCTTTAAAAAAAAAATAAAAATGCACATGCGTTACGTAAACAATCACCAGAATGATTAACAATTAGGAGGACCACTTATTTTATGATCCACCCGGAAAAAGAACATTCTCCACCATAACTTCAAACAAAGAAAAGGCCAAGATAGAAATATCAAAAACAAAACAAACCAGGGGCCTTCTCAAATCAATACACATGCACAAAATTTGGTAAAGTCTGGTAGCTCGGATGGAGTGTTTTTTTAGGTTTACCATGCAAATAATTAAAAGAGAAACAGGACCTGTTTATTTAAGACCATCATAGAACATGTGATATTTAGACAAATTAATAAGCACAGTTTAATGTTAGTAAAACAGAATATTTATGTAGAATATTTTTTTGTTTTGACACGGTGCACTGAAGCAGTGATTCATGCAAAAAAACCTAATCAAGTATGGAGTGGATAACCTGAAAAGCACGTGGACATCCTTTTGAGTAGGCGGTCGTAATATACCTGAAATAATTTTGTAATTATTCTCATGTAGCATTTTGATTTTCTGAGAAAACTGATGTAAAAGTTTTTTTCACTCACAACCTTTTCTAAGAGTATCCTAATTTGTTGAGATCCACAATAGCACATGAAAGAACCTGCATTTAAAATGTCTTTAACAGTTTTTTTTGTGATGATCAATGTACTTGATAAATAAAGAGGTTTATATTTTTTATTGTCTACCTTTCAGATGGGTTTATCCACCACTGATGAAATGTGTCTGGCTTTCCTCTTCTACTACCCTGCAGTAGATATTACCTCATGCACCAGCCGCCCGAACACACTACTGCTATCCACCACAACGGCTCAGTAAGATCATTGCAATCAAATACTTGGCATCTTTGCTGAGTTTGTCTTGCAACAGTGTAAACCTTTTCTGCAAAGCTAGTGTCTTTTTTTAATCATCTTCAATTACTTCTTACAGACCAGATGAGTATCAGAGCTTGATGAATAACTTGCCACAAATTCAGTACATTTCTGATGCCAGAGTAAGTCAACAGTGTTTGAACATGATCATTTATTTCTCTCGTTAGGTTTAGTCATAATAAGTCAAAATGAATAGGCTCAGTCTGTGTCTAACAGTAGTGATCTTTGCAGATTCAGCTTTATTCATTGTTTTTTACTGGCTCTCTTATTGTTGAATCCACATTTTTATGTTATATTTTATTTATTAGTTTTCCTAATCATGTCAAAACTCACAGTCAAGAAAAATATTTGTAATTACCTCTTGCACAGTTACTAACTAAGGTATTGCTTCCATTAAAACACTTCTTTTGTTTACAGAGCAATTACTCAGTCTACAGAGATGGCATGGTCAGGGAGGTAATGAAGACACCTGCTGCTGTTTGCAAAAGTACAAATACTGCAAGCAGACCCTGCTCTTCCTGGATGCTGAAGGCTGGAGGGATAATCCTCTCACTCCTATTGGTTGCTCTGATGTAGTTTGGGTGTTTGTAGACAGATCCATAAATCCATAATCAAGATAAAGATAGTCTTTAAGTATCCAAGAATATATATATATTTTTGGGACTAAATTATGGAATTTAAATGGTAAAATCCTGTACATGAATAGGTGTAGAATTAAACGGTATGCAACACATTTAGTTAGTGAGTTAACTTTTTTTTTGTTGTTTTATGTTCGTGTTTTTGTAACACTTAATATGAATAAAAATAAAAAATTACATTCAATGAATGAATTCAAAACAAGTAAATCAGAGGGAAAGAGTATTATTAAAGAAAAACTGATGGAAAAATGGCAAAAAAGGTGGGATGAAAAAAAATATGAAACAATAGAACTTGAATGTCATAAATATGAAAGCTCGAGAAGATATATGAGGAGAGAGTTTAAATGTATTGAAGAAAAAGATTAATTTGTTAGATATTTTGAGGAAGAATTTGGGGAGTAAACATATACAAATAGTTATTCGTTTTTTAAAAGAAAACTAAATTATTTCAT